CCCTCTCCTTCCTCCCCCCTCCGCCGCTCCGCCTTGCCCCGCCCCCCCTCTCGGCGGCTGCGGCCAAGGGCGACAAGTCCGGCGAGCAGAAGTGGGTCCACGAGGGCCTCATCATGGAGTCCCTCCCCAACGGCATGTTCCGCGTCCGCCTCGACAACGACGACCTCATCCTCGGCTACATCTCCGGCAAAATCCGCAAAAACTACGTCCGGATCCTCCCCGGCGACAGAGTCAGAGTCGAGGTCAGCCGCTACGACTCCTCCAAAGGACGCATCGTCTATAGGCTCCGCACCACCACCCCCTCATAGCGTCCCCAACCTGTTTGTTAAAATCCCTCACACAACGCCTGCCCTTGTTGTATAAAAAATTACAAAAATAGAAAGATAATGCTTCAACTTGTGATTTCCCGCTATTTATTTCAGTCGTTACTCGTTAGAGTGAGCAATATTTTCGATTCGCAATCCTTGCTTGATTTTGTAGGAAATTGATTGCAGGTATTTGCGATACTATTGCAGAGATTTCAACATCCTTGTCGCGACGGTTGCGATTAGGTGAATTTCATTTTATTTGAAGCTTTCGTTCTAGTTTTTGAGATTATTAATATTAGTCTCGTTTCTGAGTTTGACAAAAACCATTCATTGCTGCGATAGGATTTTCTGATACAACACTTAGATGTAAGTTCTCGATTGAAGTTTCAGATCAGTAATTTAGGCTGGGTTTTAATGCATCACTACAATATGGACAGTGCATTTAAATATTGTGTAGAAGAATAGAACGAAGATATAGTAAAATAAATATTTAAAACCTAAATTTTAATTAAGTAGAATAACAGCTTGTAGCTCCATTTTTGTTCTAGTTAGGATGTGTAGTGTACTTTACTAGAATAATTAAGAAAAAGAAAACGGGTCCTTTGATGCACATGCTAGGGTCAGTTTTCTATCTACTGCTACCTTCGGTCTACGTTAACAAAGTTCATGATTTGGCCCCACCTCATTCTCATCGATACGTTTCTTAGTCCATTATGCATATAAAGAGGGTTTGCAACTCTATATTGACATAGAAGAGGTAGAGCTATATGCGGTTTTACTTGAGAACTGAATATATAATACCCTTACCCCGATTTATACAGGAGTATGGTTCTGGACTCTTCAAACAATTGTTGATATCTGTTATTGCCACGGATCCAAACTTACTAGTTTCTACCCCTCTCCATGCCCATAATTTCTTCTTCAGCCATGCATATCATGCTATTTATCATATTCCGATTCACACTTTCTCCTTGAAACCTCCAGGAGAAGTTGTTAAGCTTAATATTGACCAATTGATGAATAACTAATCCTTTTTAGTTTTTTTTTTTCTTTTTTATTGTTGTCCTGTGTCTTTTTCTCACAAACTTATCTCGTTTCACATTCACTACTCTAATTATATAGTTATTCATATTGTTTCTAACTAAAAGATAAAAATTTAAGGTTAATTTTATATAATTGTAATTTTATTTTATTTATTAGTTATTTTTTATTTATGTAAGATAATTTAGGACGACACTTACACAATTTATTATGGATAGATAGAGTATTCTTATTGTAGCAATATTCGTATTTTGTGAGGTATATTTTGATCCACTAAATTAAATTAATAAATATTCATTTTATTGATAAATTTAAGATGGGTTTTATATCACACTAACACAATTAAAAAATAATAATATTTTTTCTCATTAATATTATTGATTACTAATAAACATAAATACTTCATCATTAATTACGGTAAATAATAAAAATTATAATGTCACTGCTCTGAATAATGTAATTATATTCAAGTCTTTAAATGATAAAAAGAATCCAAGTATTTAATGACAACATAATTATAGTCAAGATTTAGATTACTTAATAATTATATCCAAGTATTTTCTTATAAAGTATGAAAATTATAACATAATTCTTTACCCAAAAAAATATAACATAATTATATCTAATTATTTAATTACTATAATTAATAATATAACACGATATAATCACTTATTTATATTATTAGTAATTAGTCAGTAAACATATTGCTTTCATCTATGTTACTGTAAATTATTTAAAGATTTGTAAAAAAAATTGAGTCGCATAAATAATTTTACAATCAATCCATATATACTTTTACTATTTATGTCTGAAAAACAAAGTGCAAAACAAATTACTCTATCAAATAATTGAGTCAAATGATTTAATTAATTGATTCGGATGTATCTACTTGTTGCAAAATAAAATTAGTCAAACAATAAATTAATTTAAATGACTTAAATACATAATTATAGTTAAAATATTAATTATATCATCACAACAAGATATTACAAGTTTTCTCATCGTGAAAACTTTTGGGCCTAAAATGGGAACTTAGAAACATTTTTCATTTTCATTTTTTCCAGTTCGATTAATTTCTTTGAAGAAGGTAAGCGAATAAAATATGCTTTTTTAATATCAAAACTTTGAATGTTTATTTTATATACTGTTGCATTTTCTCATGTTTAATAGATATGTTAGTGTATTGTTTTTTTATTTATGTGAATATATGCAATTACACACTTAGCCGAGGAATATCAAACAATTTTGGTGTACAATCAACTTGTAGTTTAACCTCTTTAGAACAGGTAAGCAAATGCTATAATATTTTGAAAAATTGTTAAATATGTTGTTTGGACCAAACCTCCTGATAATAAAAGACAATTAAGTAGAGTAGGTATATGTTTGAATTCTTCTTTAATTATGGTACTCAAGGGCGATGATGAATTTTTTAAGGTTTGGACGAACTAAAATCATAATCTTTTTAATTATTTAAGTATTATTTTTGTATATTTTATTATAAAATATTTAGAATATCAAACGTATTTAATTATGTTTTAGTAATTCATCTTATAAATTACTTATTAGATTGTAAATATCTAATAAATTATATTAATTATGTTGTCCAATGTGAATATGCTAATTTTTATTATTAAGATATTTTAATTTTATCATGATAATCATCTTCATTTTTATTATTTTCGACTAAAATATTAAGCTTTTTGTTATTCTTATATAGTTCTTTGTTCTCCAAATTTTTAGTTTTGGAATCTAGATTATCTATATTTGCATTATTTCAAAGAAAAATTATAGGATTTTAACAAAAAAAATATATGAAGAACACCCTTTTAATAATCAATATTAAATTTAATTTCTTTATTTCTTTTTCATTTAAGATGATCAAAAGATTATTTTTCATGCAATATGTTCAAATTCAAATAATTAGACAAGTCTACTATAGACAAAAAACTAAATTATAATATATGATACAGATTATGTGTCTTTAATAATCTTTAATGAGTAAATGATAATGACATAAAACAATAGTAACTGATTTATTTTTAAACCTTCACCTTTAATTCTTAATTTCTTGCAGTGGAGGAAAAATGATTCACAATGGTAGCATATCACCTACAAAATTGCATAGCAACAAATAAATGTTTTCAATTTGATTTTAAGATTCTAATAAAGTATAAGAGACCATAATTAAAAGAATAAAGAGAGAGAATCAACATATTATATACATAAAAGAAAATGGAGAAATTTTAAGACAATCCATAAGAGAAATTAAAAAGAAATAAGTCAATAATATAATATAATATAATACATATTCTTCTTTATATTTAACATCAATGATTTATTATTAAAAAATTATAAGTAAATTTTTATTGAGAAATAAAAACATCACATATCAATTAATTAATTATTGTTAATTTATTTATTTTTATAATAATATTTTTTTTGAATAATTTAATTATGTAAATTTTATTTTTATATTTATAAATAAATAAAAAATAATACCTCTATAAAAATAGAGTCTAAATAATTGTCCCCTTTACCCGTAGATACTAATCTTATAAGTATATAAACAACTCAATACTTAATTATTAAAATATACTTTGTTTGCACATTTTAATGATATTAGTTAATAAAAAAAATTATTTGAATGAAATAAAATAATATATTTTATTCTTCTTAATTATAATATAGCATTTTTTTATTGAATTCTACGTTTAAATAACTTTAATTAAGTTTTCAATTTTTTAAAATAGATTAATATCATATTTGTAATGAAATTTAAGTGAATATATGTATATATATATAATAATAAATTTATTTTTATAAATAATATTTTTGTAAAAAATATTTATAAACCCAAAAATATATTATTGTAATCAAACTTGAAAAGATTTAATTTCCAAAAATAGTATGAATATTCTAAAAAAAAATTATGAATAACCAAACATATTTTAATTATTATCGAGAATTATGATTCCTATGATTTGAAATTCCCAGGAATCATAATTCTTGGTATAAAAAAATTTCTCACATACCAAATGCTCCCTTAATGTATGTATTAAACCTAATAAAATTGAGGTGAGATTGCGAACAACTAGGATTATAATTGACCTTAATAGAATCAAAGGGTTATGTTGAGGTTGCAAACGACTCAAATTATAATTGACAATAGTATCATCAAAGATTGGTGTTGGTGTTGTGAATGACTCAGATTATAATTGATTCTAGTAAGATCAAAAAGTTGTGCCAAGGTTGCAAATGACTCGTTATAACCGACTCTAGTACAATCAGATAGTTGTGTTGAGGTTCTGGATGTCTCAGATTACAATTGACCTTGGTATGATCATAGAGTCATGAGGATGTAAAAAACATGAATTATAATTGAACATAGATCACGGAGTCATGTAAAGTTGTGAATAGCTCATATTATAACCGACCTTAGTGCAATCACATAATCGTGTTGAGGTTGCGAACAACTCAATTTATAACCAACCTTAGTATGACCAAAGAGTCTTGCTAGGATTGTAAATGACTTAAATTATAATTGATCCTAGTACGAATAAAGAGTCAAAGGTTGCGAACGACTCAAATTATAACTAACCCTAATGCAATCACAAAGTTGTGTTGAAATTGCGAACAACTCAAATTAGAATTGACCCTAGTACGATCAAAGAGTCGTGCTGAGGTTGTGAACAACTCAAATAATAATCAATCCCTGGTACGACTAGAAAATTATACTGAGATTGCGAACAACTTAAATTATAACCAATTCTGAAGTGATCTAAGAATTATGTTAAGGTTGCAAATGACTCAATTTAAAATTACATATTTTGTGATTTTATGAAATTATTCAACAAGTTTGAATTAATATTGACTTTTATATGATGTTTGGTTTTAGCTAATTATTTTTCTCATATTAAAAAAAATATCTTGATCATGGCTGTTCAATGCGACAAATGATTCAAAGTTTGGAAAATTTGTTAAAAGTCTTAAAGAAAAAGTCTTATAAAATAAAGTGTAAGACATATGTTTTAGATGAGATGTTAGCAAAAATTGACATGTAATTGACAATAAATCAAAAGATGTAAGATTGATTGATTAATATTTATTCAAACCCTACTTTCATTAACTTTAGGTTGAATGAGTTATGTATCAACCTCCAAGTTCTACAGACTGGCTTATGGATGATCAATATTTTTTTGACATATAAATCCTAAAAATTCTAAACCTTAAACATAAAAGATAAAAATCACTTAAGTGTTTTAGTATTAATTCTTGTTATTTTATGAGAATAATTATATTGATTTGTGTATAACTAGTTAACTTCATATCTTATTATGAAAATTTTAATTTTACTTGGTCTTTTTGTCCTAAAAAGATTCAAAACTTTGAGGGTTGTGTATCTTCCTGACTCAACAATTATATGTGAAAAGTGAGATGTGGTGGTTATAATAAAAGATATGTGAATTAAAATATTTTTTTTAAAATCATGGCAAGATAGACAGTAGGGATGAGAATAAGTTAGAACAAATTAGATTTTAAATATATAGACTATGTTTGTTATGCAAAATTAAAGTCTAAACTTGACCTATTATCTATCATATAATTCTTTTATAGGTTTGACCTGACCCTTTTAAAGTTTGACCTAACATATTAGTCTATTTAATTAACTTAATTTTTAAAAATCAACAACATTATTTTTAAAATATAGTTCACTCAATATTATTAAAATTTAAATTTTATAATAAATATATGAGAAAAATTGAATCATTTTCTATTGATGGAACAATTCATGTGTAATCATGTATATTGATGTACACTCATGCACAAGTCGTAAGTTTATAAATTTATAATAAAAAAAATAATTGTATAAAAAAATATTTAAATATTGATAATTTATTTTTATTTTATAAATTTATTTATATCTTTAATATATATATATTATTTTATTATATTGTATAAGTCTAAACCTGACTTTATATATATATATATAAATAGTTTTTTTTAAAGTCAAAACTTGGTCTTTTTATTAAATAGGTCAGTACAAACTAAACTTTAAACAGGTCAAATCATAATTTCATGTTTAAGTCTAGCGTATTTTTATTCTTGATAGACAAAAGAAAAGATAAAAGACAAAAAATAATAGTTATAATAACAAATACAATGAAGGAAAGAGAATTAAGTTGTCTAGTGATGACTATATTTTTTATAAAAATAATTAAATTATTTATCATTTGCAATTGCATGTAAATTACAATAATTTTTTTTATTGTGTAGTAAGTTTTGTGTAAAAATTATAAAAATATTCATTCCTAGGACTCCACAAAATATTTTCCAGTAACATAATTCATTGGGGATGACAAATGTGTAAATACACTTTCATCTTTCCATAAAAGTGAAAGAAGTTAACAAACGTTATATTGGAGTGGATGATATGAATTTTACATCGGAATGTATAAAAGGTATTTCATAATATTTTTATAAAATTTATATAAAATATGATATTCTCAAGAAAATATTTCAAAATTTAAATTAATTTAAATTTTATTTGTTTTATAAGTTTACGTATATATATATATTTTTAGTTTATGAAGTCATTTAATATAATTTTATATATTATTTAGTCATATTATAATATAATATTTTCTTACATATTCAAAACTAACTAGGTTTATTTTGCTAATATGAATGATAAGACATAAATATTTTTAAAAAATGATATTATGTTTAGTATAACTTTGAGATTGAGTTAAACTAAAAAATAATAATATTCGTACACTTGAATTTAAGGCCGATTAACATGAAAACAAGGGAAATAAGTATAAAAGTGAAAAAGGCATGTATAAGAAGTAATAAATATAATAAATGATAAGATTAAATGTTATATATATTATATATTTATTATATATAATTAAATTTTATAATAAATTAAATTATATTTTTTTATAAATAAATATATAAATTATATTTTACAAGTAATTTATATTATAGTACAAAATTAAATTTTTATTTATCAATACTTTATTTTTAAAATATTAAAATTTTATTTTTAAA